AAAAGTAGAGTGGAGTAAGCGTCCTCGAACCCAATGTGGGTATGCCCATGTGGATGCACTCGTGTCCAGGTCTCTGTGTGTGCCCGTGTGTGTATATGTGCCCATGCACGTGCCCAAGCACACTTGTGTCCGCTCCACTGACGCCGTGAGGCATAGAGATAAGCCATTGCACTCTCTGAGGCTCTGCAGTTGAGTAGAAGGTCGGGCTCTTCCTGTAAAGCTGGGCGTTGTTCAGATGTGGGCCCCAGACAGATCGCATGGACGTCATTGGAGGATGGGTCGAATTTACTGTGTAGTGAGTCTCATTATTGGGCTGGCTGCCCGGTGACGAGTTTTTGGCCACGGCCACCCAAAAGGACCATCTAGGCTATTGGGTTTGAGGGTGATTCCACAAAAGCATTGATCACTGACTGGTCTGAAGGAGATAATCTCTAAATAGTCAGAGGCTCACAAGAGTGAGCCCCCAGGAAACCTCTTAGGGTGAGAAGGCATGGTGAAGAGGGGGGCCCCGGCCACTTCCAGTCTCGAGGTCCAAGGCACCCCAGCTTGCTGCGATACTGCTAGCAAGAAAGGGGATCATGTTTGACTGGCAACATTCTCCATGTTAGATGGACCTTGGCTCTAATAACAATAATAATAATAGCCAACATTTATATAGTGCTTACTGGGTGCCAAGCTATGGGCTAAGTGCTTTACAATTTTCATCTCATCTGATTCCCCACAACAAACAACCCTGGGATGTAGGTGTTGTTATTATCCCCATTTTACAGATGAGAAAATTGAGGCAGACTGAGGTAAAATGACTTGTCCAGGGTCACACAGCTAGTGAGTAGCTCAGGTTGAATTTGAATTCGGGTCTTCCTGACTCTAGGCCCAATACTCTATTCCTAAATGAGTGCCTGGCTGCCCAAGGCCCAGGGAGGTGAAGTCATTAAACTAAGATCATGTAGGAAGTAAGGGTCAGAAATGAGATTTGAACCCTGGACCTTTTGCCTCAAGAGTCAGTGGTCTTTCCTAGAAAGCACATTCTAAGCCTTAAAAGCAGATGAAGATGAGCTGTTCTTGTCATTATGATTTTTTAGGGGGCTGCTCAGAGGCAAAAAACCTCACAGTTTATTAAAAGAATAAATGTGCTGTATTGTGACCGGTCCAGTCAGTGAGCCAGCTAGGGCAGGGTTGGAGGGTTCTGTTTTTCAGTCAGTCTTGGAACGTTTAGAAAATCAGTTCATTGTTTAATTGGGAGGTCCCTCTAGAAAACCAATCCCTATTGGTTCTGATCTGATCATTTCTCTCTCTCCTTCCTCTGCCTTGATGATTTTCTCCCAGGAATTCAACTGAATCATAGCTGCCTTAAAGGGTTGTTTTTGTTTTTGTTTCCTAATGTGATGTTTGGGAGAAGGGGAATGGAAATGGGCTCCTGGTTAATCATGTGAAAGCTGCCCTGTTTCCAAATGGTGCTGCTGGGGCTGGGCTGGGGCTGGGGGTGGAGATCTCAGTCTGTACTCTGCCACATCACACAGGAAGCTCCCTGGCTTGTGGCCTTGGTCCTGGTCCTGGGGGAAGGAGACCGTGAGTGGCCGGTTTGCTTCCATTCCTGCAGAAGCAGCCACCGGTCATTCAGGGAGTCAGATGTGCTTGCTCCTTGGCTGGCTGGTCATGTGTGAGGGACAGCTGCCTTTCTATGAGTTAGGTCTGTCCTTTCTGCAGCGGGTGCCTTGTGCCAGCTGTGGGGTGAGACTCAAGGACATCTCTCTTGAGGTGGGCTGTGGGTGAGGGTGTATGGGGTTAGAGGGTGACGGGCTCATAGCCCTGGAGCTGGAAGGGCCACCGGGCCCAAGCCCTTCACTTTGTAGATGAGGAAAGAGAATCCACTTTCCCGAGGCCAAGGCCACACAAGTAGTGAGCCACAGAGCGGGATGTGGAGCAGCTCCTCATTGGCATATTCCACAGTCAGGGATGAGATGGCTGAGCAGGCATCACTCGATTTCTCAGCACTGACTTTGAGAGAAACTTGTGCTACTTTGGGGCAGTTTTGTTAGGAAATTCTCCATGAGCTTGCACGTGCAGAGGCGTGGACATACACTTGCCCACAAACATGTGCATCCTTGCCGTTCCTGAGGGCTCTAGTCCTTCACACTGTTCCACAGCATATGGACAGGCCCAGTGGTGGCGTCTGTTGGGAGGAATCCAACATTGGGCTTTGGCAAAGCAAGATCTGATGGGACCAGAGGGCAGGGGACTCACTGACCTTTGCTTCGTAGGATTCACCTTCTTCCCCTTTTTGAACACATGGATCCCATTTGGCGGTGACATTTTTCTGCCTCATCGGCCATAACTTCTACACATTCTTTCACTTGCCCTCACAAAGGGCTCATCTATGGATTTCTTAAACTCAGTAAGAGCTCTTTGACCATATCTTGAGTTGGCAGTTTTGAAAGCATTTTTAATGACCTTCCAGAATGCCAAGCAATCTCTTAAGACCCCTAACTTGTAGACCCTTCCTTGCCTATTAGATTGGGAAGAGGGAAAGTCTTTCCTGGGGAGGTCTTGTCATTAATGAAATCACAAGACTAGATACATTTTTTTTTTAATTAAATGGTGCTTTCATATGAGAAAGGAAAGGCTGAATTTAATTTAATTAAAAAGCATTGGCAAAAACAAAAGTCTCTGCTCTGGAGAGTTTGCCTTCAGCTGAGGGAGAGTGACACTAGGTAAATATCATTATAGCTCTAGGGCCGGTGACCAGGTTGACCATTGAGCCCACCCCTTCAATGGTTGTGAGAAAGCTGGGACCCAGGAAAAGGCAGTGACCTAAGGGCACACAGGTAAGCCAAGTATTGGTTTTTGTCTTTTTTTATGCCCAACTTAGCAAAACCAAATCACTTTCATTCTCATCTACATTGTGTGACCAAAAGAGGGAATTGGACGTGAAATGGCAGATCTCTACCTTTCAAAGCTGTCTTGTTTATCTGAGATTCCATCCGACTCTCCTTCCTATCTCTTTTCATTGGTGGGGTGGGGGGAACCTCATCGTTCATCTTCCATCTCACCCACCCCAACGCTCTCCAGGGAAAGACAGAAACACAAAAGCATACAGTCAGCCAAATAGATTCTCCTATTGGCCATATTCGAAAATGTTCACCTTCTTTTTTTGTGACTTGGGTCCATCATCCCTCTGTCAGGAGGTTGATCGCATGTTTCGCCGTTGCTCCCCTTGAAATGTGGTTGACCACTGTGTTCATTGGACTTCTTACTTTCAGAGTTATTTCTCTATGTTGTCTTCATCTAAAGAGACTTCCTTGTTTTGTTCATGTCACCTGGAATCCAAGTGATTTCAGAAGGGGTGGCGCACAATTAGGTGTGTGGAGGCGGAGGGAGAGGGGGACATCAGGACAGGCATTGTGTTGAAGACGGAGCCTTAGCTGTGCTTTTGGAGACTGCCAGCGAGTCTTTGGGGTGGGGGTGAGGAAGGAGTGTGTTGCAGTCATAAGCAATGAATAGCCTTGTGCAAATGTTCACACATGGAGATTTGCTGCTTCTTCCCAAATATTTGAGCCAGTCCTTGTGTGATTGTCTCAAGTGAGAAATTTAAAAAAAAAAAAAACAACCCAAGTGCATTGTATGCTATGGTTAACCCTGCTTCCAGCCAATATTGAACACTAGCTCAGGTGATTGATTTGGAACGTATTGGGAGCAGATGTGGGAACCCCTGCAGAATGGCCCTGGCCTTCGGTGGTCTGGTGGCAGTGCCGGTGTTTGTGGGAGACACCCAGAGCGTGTGAAACTTTATGTAGCATGAAATGGGTTCCTTTAGAGCAGGCTCCAGACCTGCCATTTTCTAGCCTGTGTGCTTTGGGGAACGGTACTGTCCCTCATCAATGGGTGCCCCCCACTCCCAGGGAATAGGACAGTTGCTTTGTGCTCTTCTGTGAAAAACATAAGCCCGAGAAAATGAGACGTATGGGTTTTTTCCACAAGGGCAGGGCAGGAATTGGTTTTACTCGATGATGTCTATTCCAAGGTGCCTCCCCCGTCATGCCTGAAATGCTCTTTTCTCCCCTGCATCTCTGGAAATCCCGACTCTCTCAAAGGTTAATTTCCAAGGGCTGCCTTTTGTGGGACCCCTTTTCTGATGCCAGCCACCCCTGGTTACTTTGTATTTACTCATATAAATCGATGTACAGTCTTGGTGTCTTCCCTCTTTCTTGATGGGGGTCATTTCTTCATATCCGTGTCACCAGCGTCTAGGCCAGGGCTCTGCCTGGAGACACTTCATAAAGGGAGGCAAATCTTATGTGTCTTTGTCCCCCCAGAGTGTGGCCCAGTGTCTACACATAACTGCTTATTGTATGACCGTGTGGTCATACAGAGAGAAGAGAGCTGTGCACGTTAGATCCCCCTTTCTCTGACCTGGTTGTTCCATCAGCCACGTGTGTAGTGCCCAGATAGGTGCTGCAGAGAGCTGGGAGTGAGGCTCTGTGAGTCAGGGCAGCCACCATGGGCCACGGCTGGGGGGTGGGAGGCAGTATTTGCCATTCATGAAATAACAATGATTGTATTGTTGGGTACACATACATCTCCCCCGACCCACAAAACCAGCTGTATATTCAGAACAAATAATGTTTTATCTTGTTCATTGACTGAGATGAATGTGCAGGCCAGGTGGCCCAGGAAAGACATTGTGGGCTGTGCTGGGGCCCCACCAGGAAGAGAGGGCATGAATACCAAGCAAAAGCAAACTGTGCTTGAGTTGGATATGATGGCACACAGGGGCCAAATCAAAGAACAGAAAGTTGGCATGAGCTCTTGGCTCTTGGCTCTTGGCCATTCATATTGCCTTTCCCAGAAAAATAGGAGACTTGTCCACCATGGGGCGACTTCCAAGTGGGGAGGGGAGTATTTTTTTTTCTTGTTTAAATGAGCATTGTATCCATGTGTGACATGCAGGCCTTGCCAAAGGGATCCAACCTGACCGCACTCTTGCTTCTCTTTTCTGACAGAAGCCCACTGTAAAAGCACAGCCCTGGGACAGCCAGGATTGCCCGGGACGGATGTCATAGCAACCGCTGCCAGAGCCTGGGGAGGAAACATGAAGCACTAGCCCCTACCAAGGAAAGGATTTAAAGATGGCGGCTCAGCGGATCCGTGCAGCCAACTCCAATGGGCTCCCACGCTGCAAGTCCGAGGGGACACTGATCGACCTAAGTGAGGGCTTCTCAGAGACAAGCTTTAATGATGTCAAAGGTGAGCTCCTGGGACCCTGGGCCCCATGTTGCTTTGTAGGGTTCCCCAGTACAAAAAAAGAATATGGAAAAGACTATTGATTGGACGTAGGGCCTTCCTTCCATGGTTACCTTGCTTGTACGTAGTTATTTACGTGTTATCTCCTCCATTAGACTATGAGTATTTGAGAGCAAGGAGACTTTTTTGTTCACATCCTTAGGGCTTAGCACAGCTCCTGGCACATAGTAGGCTTTGTTTGTTGACCTGATCACGTCAGGGCTCAAGGTGAGGGAAATGAGAGCCAAAGGATCTGACTTGGAGAAGTCTGAAGAGCCTCTCCCAGTGGAAGGGAAGGAGGGGTCAGTATTCCTGGTTGGGAGATAGCCAATGATCGTTTAAATGGTTCTCAAGTAACAAGATCTACCAAGGAAACCTGTGGGAGGCACAGCTTGGGGGACCAAGGGATGGCTCGAATCTTTAACAGAAGGACGGGAATTGCCCAGTTTCCATGCTGGTCTCGTTCCAGTTCCACTTTGGGGGGGGGGGGGGGGGGATGCTGGGTTCAGCACTCTCTCTACTGTACTACCCTGCCTCCAGATAAGGATGTAGGATCCTTCATCCAAAGCTGGAAGGGACCTCAGTAGCCCTTGTCCAAACTCCTTATTTTACAGATGAGGAAACTGAGGTCAATAGAGGTTGGGAATTGTCCCAGGTCGAGCAGATCATGTGTGAGGCAGGATTCGGTCTCAGGTCTTCCAGAACTCAAGATCCATCCTCTGTGCCACCCGCTCAGGAAGAGTCCAAGGGGCTAAGACTCCCCAAAAGTGTTGAGTGTGTTTTTGTTTAATTTTACTATAACTCTGTTCTTTCCCTTTCGTCTATTTATGACTCTCTGCATTTTGCCATGTATTTCTTTGGAAAGAAAAGGAACATGATCAGATCATATTGGTTGTCTTAAAAAGTGCTGAGTCTCCCTATATCTCCCAGACTGGAAGTGCAGAAGCTGCCCACGGGCCCGATGCCACTTACCGATTGGCAGGAAGCTGTGACAGCTCCATCTCCTGATGGGCAGCCTGGTGCGCCACCTGCCCAGCCCTCACCTGTAGGGCTCAGCATACAGGTCCTGGACTCAGCACGGATGTGCACAGCCGAGCAGCATTCCTGAGCTGGAGAAACCCACCAGCCTGCCCCATTCCTTGGTCCCTGGGATTACAGACCTGAAGCACCATGCCCACACCAGCCTGGCCAAATCATATTCTTCATCAAAGTGGCAGCTGATCACCTGACCTTTCCTAAGCCTCAGTTTCTTCATCTGTGTAATGCGGGAGTTTTGTTAGAAGACCTGAGGGTCTCTTCCAGGTTGATGTTGAATGCCTGTTACTGGCAGACTTCAGTGCATCCTACGAAATGGCCAGCTCCCCTTGTCATGCAGCTCCATATGCATGGAACTTAACGCGAAATCCTTCCCACTCATATAAAGAGGGTGGTGGTATGAGCCGCATTTTATTTATTTATTTTTAATAAATTTTTTATTTTTTTATTTTTAACATGTGTTTTTAAAGCTTTGGGTTACAAATTTTCTCCCTTCCTCCCTCCCCACCCACCCTCATTGAAAAGGCAAGCATCTCGATAGAGGTTATAGATGTGTAGTCAGGCAAAACACTTCCATGGTAGTCATGTTGTGAAAAACTAAGTACATTTCCCTTCATCCTATTCTACCCCCCATTTATTCTATTCTCTCTTTTGACCCTGTCCCTCCTCAGAAGTGTTTGCTTCTGATTGTCCCCCCCCCCCATCTGCCCCCCCCCCCCCCAACAACCCCCTGCTCTCTTGTCCCCTTCCCCCCTTATTTTCCTGTAGGGTAAGATAGATTTCCATACCCAATTGTGTATGTTATTCCCTCCCTAAGCCAAATCCTATGAGAATGAGATCCACTCATTCCCTCTCACCTTCCCCCATTTCCCCTCTACTGTAAAAGCCTTTTCTTGTCCATTTCATGTGAGATATTTTACCTCATTCTACTTCTCCCTTTCTCCTTCTCCCAGTATAATCCTCTCTCACCCCTTAATTTTATTTTCCAGATATCACCCCTTCATCTTCAACTCACTCTGTGCCCTCTATTTATCTATCTATACATACATATAATTTTTTTCCCTCCCACTACCATAATACTGACAAAAGTCTCATGAGTTACAAATATCATCTTTCCCTGCAGGAATGTAAACAGTTCAACCTTAATAAGTCTCTTATGATTTCTCTTTCCTGTTTATCTCTTCCATGTTTCACATGAGTCTTGTATTTGAAGGTCAAATTTTCTATTCAGCTCTGGTCTTTTCCACAGGAATGCTTGAAAGTCCTCTCTTTCATTGAATGACCATTTTTTACCCTGAAGGATCATACTCAGTTTTGCTGGGTAGGTGATTCTTGGTCACAGTCCTATCTCCTTTGCCCTCCGGAATATCATACTCCATGCCCTCCGGACCCTTAATGTAGAAGCTGCTAAATCTTGTTTTTATCCTGATTGTGTTTCCACAATACTTGAATTGATTCCTTCTGGCTGCTTGCAATATTTTCTCCTTGACCTGGGAATTCTGGAATTTGGCTACAATATTCCTAGGAGTTTTCCTTTGGGTATCTCTTTCAGGAGGTGATGGGTGGATTCTTTCAATTTCTATTTTGCCCTCTGGTTCTAAAATATCAAGGCAGTTTTCCTGGATAATTTCTTGAAAGATGATGTCTAGGCTCTTTTTTTGATCATGGCTTTCAGATAGTCCAATAATTTTTAAGTTCTCTCTCCTGGATCTATTTTCCAGGTCAGTTGTTTTTCCAATGAGATATTTCACATTCTCTTCTATTTTTTCATTCCTTTGGATTACTGTTACGGTGCTTTGATTTCTCAAATTGTCCCTAGTTTCCAATTTCTCCATTCTAATTTTTAAGGAAGTATTTTCTTCAGTAAGCTTTTGGACTTCTTTTTCCATTTGGCCAATTTTGCTTTTTAGGACATTCTTCTCCTCATTGGCTTTTTGTACCTCTTTTGCCATTTGGGTTAGGCTATTTTTTTAAGGTGTTATTTTCTTCAGTATTTTTTTGGGTCTCCTTTAGCATCACTCTCAGTTTTTCCTGTACTTCTCTTACTTGCTCCTCAAAATCCCTTTTGAGCTCTTCCATGGCCTGGGACCAATTCATATTTTTCTTTGAGGCTTTGGATGTAGGAGCTTTGGCTTCGTTGTCTTCTTCTGGTTGTATGTTTTTATCTTCTCTGTCATCAAAGTAAGATAATGTAGTCTGACTCATTTTGCACTGCTTGCTCATGATCTCAGCCAATTACTTGAGTTGTAGACTCTTTGTTAAGGTAGGAGTCTGTTTCCAGTGTGGAGAATGTACTGTCCCAAGCTTCAGGGGTTTTGTGCAGCTGTTTTCAGAGATACTTTTAGGGACCTGTAAATTTTCAGTTTTTCCAAGGTGCTATGATCAAGGGCGAGGTGTTTACTTCTGTCCTGTCCTGTGCTCTGGTCTATGAGCACTCTTTTCTGTCTTGGAACTGTGAGGAGGGTTTCCTCTCCAGCCACAACAAGCTCCACCATGCCAGCGCTCCTCCTCACCCTAGGACCACTACCCAGAACTGTGACCCAGATCCAAGCACAGGCAAAGCAAGAGAATCCTGCACCAGCAGAGAGATCCCTGCAATCCCCCTCTGATCAGTCACTAGATTCCCCCTCAGTCTATGGGCCGAAAGCTCAGAAAGCAGCCACCGCCCCAAGGAATGGGGCAGGGACCCCACCGCGCTTCTCTCTCATGAGCGCTTCTCTCTCACCACCGCAGTCACAGACTTTTCCCACTCACCTTCTAAGTTGTCTTTGGCATTGGTGGGTTGAGAAGTCTGGAAACTTCCACAGATGCCTGCAATTCAGTGCTCTGAGGCCTGCTCCAGATTCACCAAGGCCTGCCTACCCATGCCGAACTGCGCTCCTCTCCCAGCCCAGCGTGATATACCTTTCAGATCAACCATCCAGGCTGTCTTTGACTACAAATTTGTTTCGCTCTGTCTTTTTGTGGGTTCTGCTGCTTTAGAATTTGTTTAGAGCCATTTTTTGTAGGTATTTGGAGGGGTTCGGGGCAGAGCTCGAGCAAGTCACTGCTTTTTTACTCAGCCATCTTGGCTCTGCCCCTATAAGCCCCATTTTAGCCCTAGGGAAATTGAAACCTGAAAGTTACAGGCCTGGCCCAGGATTACACTTGCTAGCAGGGGTCTGCAGAGGGATTTGAACCCAGGGCTTCCTGATTGCAAATCCAGCACTCTACACCAAAGTCTTATTAGACATCCAGTCTTGCCTCTGCCTAGATCTGTGCCACGAATTGCCTCTCTTTATGTGAAGACAACCTGAAACAGTGGAGAGAGAGCTGGCCTTGCGGTCGGAGCACCTGACTTCAAATCTAAGCTTGGCCTAGGTGATCTAGGCAAGCCACTTGTTTTTTGGGCCTCAGTGTCCTTGTTTGTAAAATGATAAGGTTGGACTAGGTAGCCGTGAAGGGCCCTTTCCAGTTCTTGATCTAGGGTCCAAAAAATGAACACGTGGGTTTGAGATACTAGATTCTTTTCAGTACTTTCAGGAAACTGAGGGAGAAAGTGTGGGAAGGAGGAAAAACCAAATTACTTTTCGTTGTTGAGTCGTTTTCAGTCATGTCTGACTTTTCATGACCCCATTTGGAGTTTTCTTGGCAAAGCTACTGGAGTGGTTCACTGTTTCCTTCTCCAGCTCATTTTACAGATGAGGAAACTGAGGCAAACAAGGTGAAGGGACTTTCCCAGGGTCACACAGCTGGTTAGTGTCTGAGGCCAGATTTGAACTCTGAAAGAGGAGTCTTCTTGACTCTGGGCCCGGCACTCTATCCACTGTGCTGCCTAGCTGCCCCATCAAGCCACTAAAAAGTAAAGTTAAATGCCTCTTAGCTATCTCTGCACCTCACTTTCTTCATCTGAAAAATGGAGGTGGGGAAACACTACATCTAAGGTCTGTTCCAACTTGAAATATATCTAATATATATGCAGACCCTTGCGCATAGACGCACTGTCTCCAGTCTTCTTGGGCAGAAACCTTCACTCTTAGCTCATAATGTCCTTTTTCATGCATGAGCAGAGAACCCAAAAGATTAAAGTACAGCTTTACCATAACACCTGCACCCTTAGATATTTTTATTTTTATAACAATGGTTACTGTTAGTGTTGACAACAGGAATTGGGGGGAGGGGATTGCAGCCCATTTTGTGAACTCAAAGCTCAAAAAGGTAGCACAGGACTTTGTAAATGGGCCAGATGACCTTGGAGGTGGGGAGCAGGGGGGAAAGGTGGGTTCAGTACGCTCTTGCTAACTTAGAAAGATAACATGAAAAGATATTTAAGAACTGCAGGGTGTGGCCATGGAGAGGGTGACCAGGATAGAGCTGGGCCTTGATATTATGTCTTATCAAGATCACTGGAAGGATGATTTAATGGGAATATTTAAAGAGAGATTAGAAAAGCTTAGGGGAGGTGATGGCTGACCTCTCAGACGGAGGGCTTGACTGGGTTCTTGGCACCAAGAAGGCCTAGCCCAGGCTAGGGGCTAGAATTTTCCCTAGGTGGATACAATCGTGATAAGAATGGGGACTGTCCAAAGGTGTATGCAGGTAAGGAGCTCCCCGTGTTGGGGAAGTTTCATAACCACTCATCACTGTGTGTGACAGGGATGCTTCCTGCCCAGTTTGCTCTGCATGGATCTGAGGGCCTGTACAACTCAGAAATTTCATGAACTCTGAGGTCACATCACAGTCAGGAAAAAGACTCGTCCAATTTAAAAGTCGCCCTGTCTGACTTTATATCATTTTAATGTTTAGGTGTCCAAAGGAAAGAAAAGGAAAAGAAAGAAAGCAATTTCCTAGGGCAAGAGCTCTTCCTTTGTGAATTCTGCAGCCTTTGGCAGTCTGAAAGCCTGTGGAGCCCGGACCTTTCTCAGAATAAGGCTTTGAAATGCTTAAAATAAAATCAGATTACGAAAGAAGTGTTTAAATACAGTGATCATTTTTTTTTTAAAGTTCTCGCACCCCAGGTTCTAGACTAATAGATTTAGACCTCAAAGGAGTCTTGGAGGCCCCCTAATCTAGGCTAATCCCTTCATTTTAGAGTCAGACCAAGTTGGAGTGATTTGCTTAAGGTCAAGTAAGTAACGAATGGCCACCCTGAGGTTGGAACCCGACTTCTCAGCCTCCAAATCCAGCATTCTTTCTCGCCTCCCATTCAGATTTCTACCCACAGGCAGGGATAAGCAGAAGGGTCCCACTGCACCTTTTTCTCATTCCCTGACTTTTGAAAATGATGCTTCCCGGGTCAGGCTGTAAGTTGCTGCTCCTCTGTTGCTGAGACTTTTCTTGGGGAAAGACGCTTAAGGGGTTCAGATGGCCTCTCTCCTAGCACCCGGTCAACGCCAGGATCCTTACTCAGTAAATAGGTATCAAATTGAATTAATCAGAAACGAGTCCTGGAGTCTAAGGTCCTGGATTTCCGATCCCTCCATGCTTGTCTGTGGGTAACCTTAGGGCAGTTCACTTCACTTCTGGTATTTCCTTGTCTTGAGGAAGCTGAGGACTTGGTCTCAATGGCTTCTGGCCCCCTTGTTGCTCTGGGTCTCTGAGGGTCTCAAAGGGCCCTTCAGCTCCCACTGTGCTGGTGGCTGATACTCCAGATGGCATTGGATGAGTGAAAGCGGAGACGTCCCCGTTGGGAAGCCATGGGCAGTCATCTTCTCTGCCCTCCTCTTGCTTTTTCTAAATGATAATATTTCTTTAGTCCATTTTAGATCAACTCAGTCAGTCACCAGCATTTCTCAAGGCCCAGTCACTTTGCTAGGCACTGAGGGGACAAGTAAAAAGAATAAACAATTCCACCTTGATATTTTAGTTTGATTTTCTTGGTATCTATTATCACAACAACCCACAAAAGTAGCTGCTCTAGTTACTAGTATCCCTGTTTTACAGAAGGAGATGGAGAATCAGGAAGGTAGTGACTTGCCGCTCTCACACATTTCAGAGGGAAGATTTCAGTCCCATACTCTTTCTCTCCTGTCTCCTTAGTCTAGTCTTTTTCTTTGAAATCCATCTTTAGGTTGGATACTTGTCATGGTAGTTCATGGGATGGTAGCTTTGGAACTAGAAGGAACATTAGAAGACTAGCCCATCTCCTGCATTTTAGACAAGAGGAAACTGAGACCTAGGGAGATGAAATGCTTCACCCAGTGACCCTCGAGTTAATAGTGCCAGAAGTAGGATTCGAACCCGTGATGTGTGACTCCAAACACGGCACTTTCTTCCCACCCCTCTGCATTCAGGGCCCTCTGCTTATTGATGCTTCTCTCCAGACCCTGTTTCCCATTTGTTGAGAAGCATCAGCGTCTCCAGAGTGGAAGGCTCACTGACTCTGTTTCCTTTTTTCCAGTGCCTTCCCCCAGTGCCTTGCTTGTCGACAATCCCACGCCTTTTGGAAACGCGAAAGAAGTGATAGCGATTAAGGACTACTGCCCCACCAACTTCACCACTCTGAAGTTCTCCAAAGGGGACCACTTGTATGTCTTGGATACTTCCGGCGGAGAGTGGTGGTATGCGCACAACACCACGGAGATGGGCTACATTCCTTCCTCCTACGTGCAGCCCGTCAACTACCGCAACTCCACGCTAAGTGACAGCGGCATGATCGACAACCTTCTGGACAGCCCCGATGAAATGGCCAAGGAGCTGGAACTGCTGGGAGGAGGGTGGACAGAGGAGAAGAAAGTTTCGAGTAAAGCCCACAACAATAACCCTTTCTGGAACGGGGTGCAAACGAACCCATTTCTGAATGGAAACGTGCCCGTCATGCCCAGCCTGGAGGAGGTGGCTCCCAAAACAACAGTGGATTTGCTGCTCTTTGACGCGGAGGTGCCGCCATCTTTTACCACAACTGGTTCTGCGACGACCAACAGTGTTGGCAATATTTTTGATGAACTGCCATCCGCCAACAAATTCTCCAACGCCGAGCAGCCCATCAAACGGGATAACCCCTTTTTCAGAAGCAAACGTTCGTACAGTTTGTCGGAGCTGTCCGTCCTCCAAGCCAAGTCCGAAGCCCCTTCGTCGTCCAACTTTTTCACCGGGTTAAAATCTCCAACCCCGGAGCAATTCCAGAGCCGAGAGGACTTTCGAACTGCCTGGCTGAACCACAGGAAGCTGGCCCGCTCCTGTCACGATTTAGATCTGCTTGGCCAGAATCCTGGCTGGGGTCAGACTCAGCCTGTGGAGACAAACATCGTGTGCAAGCTGGATACGTCGGGCGGAGCCGTCCAGCTCCCGGACACCAATATCACCATCCATGTCCCTGAGGGCCACGTGGCTCCCGGGGAAATGCAGCAGATTTCCATGAAAGCCCTGTTGGACCCACCCCTGGAGCTCAACAGTGACCAGTCTAGCACCATCAGCCCGGTCTTGGAGGTGAAACTGAGCAACATGGAGGTGAAGTCATTCATCATCTTGGAGATGAAAGTTTCGGCCGAGGTAAGACAGGACGTGGTCAGCAAAAGCACCGTGGCCCTGCAATGTTTGCGCAGCGACATGAAGGAAGGGCCGTATGTCCCGGTGCCACTGATGTACAGCTATGGAGACTCGATCCAGGTTCACCTGGAGAACCTGGAACCGTGCATGTACATAGCTATCGTGGCCCACGGACAGAACATTCTCTACCCTTCTACCGTCTGGGACTTCATCAATAAGAAAATCACAGTGGGGGTGTACGGCCCCAAACACATCCATCCTTCTTTCAAGACAGTGGTCACAATCTTCGGGCACGAGTGTGCGCCCAAGACCCTGCTGGTCAGCGAGGTCACGCGGCAGGTCCACGGTACGTCTCCGGTGGCCCTACAGCTGTGGGGGAAGCACCAGTTTGTTTTGTCCAGGCCCCAGGACCTCAAGCTGTGCATGTTCTCCAATATGACCAATTACGAAGTCAGAGCCAGCGAGCAAGCCAAAGTCGTCAGGGGGTTCCAGATGAAACTGGGCAAGGTAAGCCGCCTGATCTTTCCCATCACGTCCCATGACCCCAACGACCTCTCGGACTTCACCCTGAGGATCCAGGTGAAGGACGACCAGGAGGCCATTCTCACCCAGTTCTGCGTCCAGACCCCTCAGCCCCCTCCCAAGAGTGCCATCAAGCCTTCCGGGCCTAGGAGATTCCTCAAAAAGAACGAAATTGGGAAGATTATCCTGTCTCCTCTGGCTGCGACCACCAAGTACCCAACTTTTCAGGAGCGTCCAGTGGCCAGCCTCAAGTTTGGAAAATTGCTCAAGACGGTCGTGAGACAGAATAAAAATCATTATTTGCTGGAATACAAGAAAGGAGATGTCATAGCCCTGCTTAGTGAGGAGAAGATCAAATTGAAAGGCCAGCTGTGGACAAAGGAATGGTACATTGGGTATTACCAGGGCAAGATTGGCCTTGTGCACACCAAGAATGTGTTAATTGTCGGGAAAATTAGGCCATGCCTTTTTTCTGGGCCCGACCTCAGTACCAGTGTGCTTCTGGAACAAATTCTGAGGCCCTGCAAGTTTCTGACTTACATCTATGCCTCTGTGAGGACCCTACTGATGGAGAATATCAGTAGCTGGCGGTCATTCGCGGACGCCTTGGGCTATGTGAATCTACCGCTCACATTCTTCTGCCGCGCGGAACTGGACAGTGAGCCTGAGCGGGTGGCCTCCGTCCTCGAGAAGCTGAAGGAAGACTGTAACAACGCTGAGAACAAAGACAGAAAATCTTTTCAGAAGGAGCTAGTGATGGTGAGTGCTTGGCCCCTCACGTTCCTTTGGGCTTACTTGGAAGGCATCAGGAAACATTTGAGATTTAGCCAGTCCCCTCCACGCCCATAGCGAATCGTCTTCTTTTAGAGAGGTCCTAGGAAAGCCCGGTCAGTTATGGTAATAATGCCCACTTCGTGGAGATTTCCAGGGGTTTTGTTTGATCCATCTAGGGGCATTCTTACTTAGCATGCTTATTCATATGGAAATGTCAGTGGTGAATGCCCAATGGGCACAGACTAACAGCTGGTGTTGATGAAGCCGTAGTTTTCAATGGTTCTTGGTTTTTAGCCATCTTAGAATGGTTCCCAATTCCTGCCTATGAGTCCAGGACAGCGTGCCGCTCAGAGGCAATGCGGAGCCCAGTCTGGTTGGGAGGCTTTGTTTTGTATCCCTTCATGTCGATTTAAAAAAAACACATGAGCTCCTCAAATGCTGCCATGGCCAATTATCTGCTGGGACATGTTGTTTATGTTTTAATAATGAAGACCCAGGAAAGGAAGGGGAGACGTTACTGTCATGGTGCATGCCATTCGGGATCTAAGAACAAAACAGTCTGGCTGGACTTACTCAAAATTCCCTCACTTCAAGAAGAGGTTCAGTGTTGACTTGTTGAGGGTATTGTGAGAGCCTATGGGCTTTGGTTCACGTATGGGTTGGACAAGGTGTCCATGCTGAGCTCCCTTCCAACTCTGAGGTTCTGTGGTTTTATGAAATGCGCTTCTTTCAGGTAGGTGGAAAATGTTAGGTCGAAATATGCCCCCTGCCCCCCCCCAAAAAAAAGCCCTTGGTGTGGCTGTTAGTTAACTACCTGTAAATGCTGTTCGTGGGGTTCAAAAGTCTGTTCGTCTATACTGGAAGAAATACCATAAACGTGTACAAGGCCTTTGACGGCAGCAGAGAGTGGGAAAGGGGATGAATGCTGGGGGCAAGGAGTGGGGAGACCTGGGTGCTAGGCCTGGCTCTCCTGATAACTTGACCTGTTATCAGACTGACAGCTGATTCTCCTCTGGAGTTTCCTCATCTGAAAACTGAGCAGGGTTGGTTTAGAGATGATCTCTGAGGTTAGGTACGTCAGAGTTCTAACACTTTTTTCTAGGATTTAAAAAGTATTGAAGTGTTTCTGTTACTGTCCTCAGTCAATCAACAAACATTTTTGAAATACTTGCTGTGTCATTAGATTGTGAACTCCTTGAGGACAGGGGGTCTGTCTTTTGCCTCTTTTTGTATCTTTGGCATTTAGCACGGTGACTGGTATGCAGTAGGTGCTTCATAATTGTTTATTGACTTACTGCCTGTTCCTGTGCTCCAAAGATAAAAATTAAGTCATCCCAGCCTCTGAGGAGCTGGCATGTACAGCATGGTGAACGTGTCCAATCTTCCTCATTCGTGCTTGTGATAAGTGGCCAGAGGATTGGGATTAGAGCCATCCTTTCTGCTGCTTACTTCTGTGTATCCTTGGAAAAGTAAATCGCTTCTCCTTTCTGGGCCTCAGTTTCCTTCTCCAAAAGGGAAGGCATTTGATGGTACCTAGAGTTCCTTTTGCAGCGAAATGATATAATCCTGTGACTTGAATATTCAGGCAGGAGAACAGAGACTTCTCCTCGTGTAAGATGGTACTCACTGGTTTGGGAGGAATTGGCCTGGCCCAAAATGCCATCCTGCCGGTCTGTTACCAGATTACTCCATCAACGGACTTCATATTCCAACACTGCTGTCATCGGTTTAGCAGTAGACCTGGGCCCCAGCTGGCATGCTGCTGGGGAGCTCTGATTTAAGGGGACCTGTGCATATCAGCTTCCATAAACTGTTTAATGGATTGGGTGCCAGAGCTCTCTGGAAAGCTGCAAGGCTCTGGACCATCTTAATTAACAGACTTGGGACAGACGGAACACATTTTCTCCTTCTTCCGAGAAGGCCTTAGGCAGGGTCCCTCCTCACTTGTCATTGTGGCTTCCTCAGGTCCAAGGATGCTTTCTAGGATGGGGTGTGTTTCCTTGTTTGGAGATAGGGAGGAATGCCCTCCAAAAATTGCTAGAGGCCCCTTTAGATCATGGGTAATGGGTCAAATCCAGGAGCTAATAAGCTATCTTGAGTCAAAATAGTGAAATGTTCATTCCTTCTTATATCCTTGTGAAAGCTAGCAGAGATCATTAAGGAGAAGGTGTGATTGTGGTTCTTGGCATCAGAGAGCTGGACCTTGGACCTCAGACACCATCCGGTCAAACTTCCTTTACTGAGAAGTAAACTGAGGCCCAGAGAGACTGGGTGCATTTTCCAAGGTCACATCCCAAGTGGAATCCAAGCCCGATCCTTTGTCTTGCTGCAAGTAGGAGTGGTCCCTCAGCTGGGGCTCCTCTCCCTGCCCCTCACCACCTGCCCCCCTTCTCTGGGACTGCAAAAGCCTGTGGAGAGAACCTAGACATTTGGGGTGGGTTGGTTCATTTCGCTCAACTGTTTTTATTTTTAATTTGTTTTTCTTTGCCAGAGAAAGCTACATTAGGAAATGCAGGTGATATAAAAACAAGATATTAATAAAACGTATCATTAAAAAGTACTCCCAAGTCAGAGGCAGTGTAGCCTAGGGGATAGAGTGAGGCCGCTATGTCAAGAAGAGCTGGGTTCATGTCTGTCCTCTGACACATACTGTGTGACCTTGGCACAATCACTTAACCTCAAGACTCTAGGACAGTGGCCAGTTTGCACTGGGAGAGAGATATTTCTCACTGGAAGTTCCCTATACCACCAAAATTACAAGCTTAGTGTCTGGCCCACTAGCTCCATCCTCCTCGCAAAGCTGTGCTCTGAATGGAATATAATTCTCCTGAGGACTGAATGGGTTAAATATGACTTTGCAACTCCCTGGCCTCTTAATGCAGCCCAAGGCAACATTCGCTTTCTTGGCTGACATATCATGAGCTTGCAGCCCACTGAGTCCCCTGGATCTGTGTGTGTCTGTCTATCTAGGAAGATAGATACATAGACACACACACACACACACACACACACACACGGGAAGCCCATGAGATTCCTGGGGGAGATTCAGGAGGAGAAGTCTCTATACAGCTAGGTCCTGATGAGTATAAATAATGAATCCAGGAAAGTGGTTATTCAAATTCATATTGTACATTTCCATTGGGCTGGAATGAATAACCTCATTTTACGTAATTACTACTTGTAATGGTGCAAATCTGAATACATGGGACCCCTTCATAAGGTCTGATATTTGCAGTCATTGAGACCAAGCTGTTACTGCCATACATTGGAAAGGGGAATTTGGAATTGGAAAACCTGAGTGTCCAGGCAGGAGGAGAGCTCTTTGAGGGCAGGAACTGGCTTTTCATTCTTTTGTTTTTCCTTTTTTTTCTCCAATTACATGTAAAAACCATTTTGAACATTCTTTTTTTTTTTAATTTTTAATTTTGAGATCCAAATTTCCCCATTTCCCTAGATGGCAAGCAATTTGATATAGGTACATATGCACAGTCATACAAAATATATTTCCATATTAGGAATGAAAACAAGAAACTCTCCCTAAAAATAAAAACAAAACAAGAAAAAATCAAATAAAAAACCATGCTTCAGTCTGCATTCAGACTCCATCAGTTCTTTCTCTGGAGGTGGAGAGCATCTTTCACCGTAAGTTCTTTGGAATTGTTTTGGATCATTGTATTGCTGAGAATAGTTAAGTGATTCAGAGTTGATCATCACACAGTGTTTGCTGTTGCTGTGTATAATGTTCTCTGACTCACTTCTCATGTGAGACTTTCCAGGTTTTTCTGAACTCATCCTACTCATCATTTCTTATAGCACAGTAGTATTCTATTACAGTCATATACCGCAATTTATTCAGCCATTCCCCAATTGATGGGCATCCCATCAATTTCTAGTTCTTAGTCACCACAAAAGGAGCTGTTATATTTTTGTACATATGGATCCTTTTCCTTTTTAAAAAACTCTCTTTGGAATACAGACCTAGTAGTTGTTTTGCTGGGTCTAAAGGTATGCACAGTGTTATAGCCCTTTGGGCATGGTTCCAAATTGCTCTTCAAAATGGTTGGATCAGTTTACAACTCCACCAACAGTGCATTAGTGTCCCACATCTCCTCTAATATTTGTCATTTTCCTCTTCTGTCATATTAGCCAATCTGAAAGATGTGAGGTGGTACCTCAGAGTTGTTTTAATTTGCATTTCTCTCATCAATAGTAATTTAGAGCATTTTTATATGGCCAAATTTGTATACATACATATATATGTATGTATGTATGTATACATATATATATATATATATATATATATATTTCTTTGTTTAAAAACTGCCTGTATGTTTCCTTTCATCATGTATCAATTAGGGAATGACTTGTATCCTCAGGACCAGCTTTTCCCTTTGTATCCTCAGGGCTTAGCATACTGTAGGTGCTTAATAAATGCTTAATGAGTGGTCACCAGTATCAGATATAGCTGATAGATACAGAAAGATAAGGACTGAGAAAAGATCCTCCCTCAGATAAAGCAAGTGAGAGTTAGTACATTTAGAGAACATAGTTTCAGTTGAGTGGAGTTTGAAGCCAGATTGTAAAGGATTTAGGAATGAGAGTAAAGGGAGAACATATGTGTAGACTGCCCTTTCAAGGAGTTTAGTAGACAAAGAAAAAAGCTGAAGTAGGGGGTGAGGTCTGATGAATTTGCTTTGTTTGTTAAAGGTTTAGGAGCTAGCTATAGTTTGTTTTCAGGGAAAGAGCTAATAGCCAGGGACAGGCTGAAGAGCAGAGAAGTGAGCAAGTGAGGTTGCATCTACTGTAGAAGATGAAATTAAGTGAAGAAAAAAGATTGACCTTCTGTGTCAGAGGCTAAGAGGGAAAGAGTGGGAGATGATGTTCAGGAATTGTGAGATGGAGATAAGGGAGAAAGAGGGAGCTCATGTTGTGTGGCCTCAGTTTTCTCCATCAAATAAGAGACAAGGGCTTTGATTGGGTCACGC